TATTTATTTATACCCCGCCTATCTAGTCATTTTGACCACTTATGTATGAAAATCTTGTGTTGTGTGACTCTAATAGGGTTTTCAAGTTATGTGAGATATTTAAGGGATAGTTTTGCCAGTGCCGCCCCTCCTGTGAGTTTCCATGTCTGAGCAAGGATTTGAACCTAGGTCTCCGGAGTCCTAATTTATCACTCTATCCATGCTGGCTCTCTCAGTACTCTTAGAGGGTAAATAATTCTACTCTATGGCTTTCTTAACACCAGTTGAGTAATTTAGTTATGCCTAATGCAAACACATATTAGAAAAGGATGATTCTGCATCTCTGCCTGAGTTGCTGTTTTGCACATCTCCTTCCATTAAGAAAGCATCAGGTTGCAAAGAAATGCATCTTCATTGCTCAGTTCTTGCTCCTCTGTGGGCAGATGCCCCACATTCAGTGTGGAATGTGTGCTGAAACAGGCAAGATCATGGAAGCAACCAAAGGTGAGTGTTAATTCTATTGGTTAAAATAAAATTGTCCACTATGGAGATGTCACAGAACACACTTGAGAGAAGGGAAACAAATTTAGACCTGGGGAAAACCTATTCATGTGTAATGTACATAACTATTTAATTCTATTCTAATTGACAAAACTGAATGTGTGTCTTAAATATTCAGAGTTTGGGGTGAATATGGTTTGAATCAATTCACATTTCTCTTCTGTTCTATAGGTCAGTCGGCTGCTGATCTTGGGAGGTGCCAACATCAATTACAGGACTGAAGTGCTGAACAATGCCCCAATTCTTTGTGTTCAGTCTCATCTTGGTTACACTGAGATGGTAGCTTTGTTGCTGGAATTTGGAGCAAATGTTGATGCATCTTCTGAAAGTGGCCTGACATCTCTTGGATATGCTGCTGCAGCTGGTTATTTAAGCATTGTTGCACTTTTGTGCAAGAAGCGAGCCAAGGTGACTGGAGGCTTGAGATAATGACTTTGATTCCCAAGTATTAGCAACCTGGCCTTGGATGGGCTGCACATGATACCTTCACTGGGATGGGGTGGGAGTTCCCCTCTTACTGTAGGGGATGCAGTGATGTGAGGGTGTAGTTCTTACCTACTCCTTAGAAAGGATTGAGCACATTCACAAAACAAAAAGCCATTGTTTTTAAAAGCCATTTAAAAACATGCCTTTTCAGGCAGGCCTTCCCTCCAGTCAATTAAACTGACCTTTACTTTTTCTTTTAATCACTCCATCTTGGCAAGGATTTATATAATTGTTATAATTTTGATGTTTTAATCTTTTTAGGATGTTGTTTTGCTATGTTTTATGTATGTAAGCCGCCCCGAGTAGACTTTGTCTAGAGGGGTGGGGTAAAAATCCAATAAAAGTAAAAGTAAGTAAAAGTAAACACTGGAAAGTTTTAAAAGATTTCTTATGCTTAAAGTGAGAGGCAACTTGTTTAGAAGTACAATCATTGTTCCTTGAAGCTTTAGGAGCATCATTTTAAAAATGTTAATCTTAATTTCAGCTAGCATTTTTCTTGGGCAATGAGGGGTTCCGGAAGAGGTCTAAATAACACAAAAATGGTCTTGGGAGACCACATAGTGTCCCTCCAGTCACACAATTGCTGCCTGTGTCTTAGTAGATTTGAATCAGGAGAGGAACCTGTGCTGTACCGTCTTGTTTAATACAGCAGTGGAAAAATAAAGTCATTCAGTATTATTTTTGGTAGAAGCTTCTAAGCTGGATCCTAGATTGTCTAATCTTCTTTGTACACTTGCTTTTACATCACATAACTGTTCCTATGATGGTTGCACTAGCAAGACCATGAGAAACAACACTGCTTTTTCTTTCCCTCATAAGTGTGGTCCACATTTCCACATAACAAGATCAGACCCTTGACTGAAGGGGTTTTTTTAAATACTGAGCTGTACTCAGATAATATCTCTGAATAGTTCATTGGCACCTCATTATGCATGGTTCAAGTGGGTGCTTAGTTGGTGTGTGCATAAGATGCCACACTCCTTTGTCTGCCTTTAAGAATCTCTCATTTTAGTTTACCACAATATTAAGAGTGTGTAGGCTAGAATATAATACAATTCTGGTTTGGATATGGTAAATGTCAACTGTTATAAAGATTATGGTGCCTTGCTTATTGGAATAAGAAAGATACAATTCTCTTATGGGAAAAATATTCTATTTCTCCACCAGAGAAACATGGAAAATATATTCTATATGAACATATACAGTGGTACCTTGAAGGACAATTACCCCGCAAAACAACAAATCTGCATGATGATGTTTTGTGAGTGCCATTTTGCTTCGCAAAACAGTGATTTCTGTGGGGGAATTTCACTGAACGACTATTTGGTCCGTGCTTCATGGACCATTTATTCGCAAGACGACGATTTAAAATAGCAGATCAGTGGCATGATCTTTGCAAAACAGGTGTTTTCAGGCCCATTTTTCACAAGACAGCAATTAAAAACAGCTGATTGGAGCTCGCAAAATGGCTGCCCTATGGTCGATCTTCGCAAAACAACGAGGTATTTTCCCCATTGCAACGCATTAAATGGGTTTCATTGCATTCCAATGGGGAAATGGTTTTTGCATGACGATGATTTCACTAAACATTGATTTTCACGGAACGGATTATCATCGTCATGCGGGGCACCACTTTATTCTATATGAACATGGTAACGTTTTGAAAAGAGGGATTGGAATGAGCCTTTAGCATGCCTGTTGAAAATGTTTGGATTTAATTTTATTCAGTCATATTTTCTTTCCTCCCTAAGGTGGATCACTTGGACAAGAATGGTCAGTGTGCCCTGGTACACGCAGCTCTCAGAGGCCACTTGGAGGTTGTCAAGTTCTTGATTCAGTGTGACTGGACAATGGCTGGGCAACAGCAGGGAGTGTTTAAGAAGAGCCAAGCCATCCAGCAGGCACTCATTGCTGCTGCCAGTATGGGATATACTGAGGTATGTTGCTCTCTTTGACTTGCTGAATCTTCATTGGTCAGCCAGACTTTTAGCTAGCTATGTTTCTTGCCCAGCAAAATGCGGGACAAGAAACCATTTGTATGGGTTGGAAGAGGTGAGTAGTCTAAAGTCACTTAGTTTTCATGCTGCGTCATTCAATTCCATTAGGAGTAGAAGGCTTATGCTCATACAGAGACAGAAATATCAGCAACTTTCTAATTTACAGGATCACTTCCATACCATACAGTAAATCATGTTGAGGGGGGCAGTCTTTAATCAAGAGACTTTGGATAGCCTACAAGATTAAAATATTCGTATTCTTCCTTTTTTTGTTATTGGTATTCAAAATAACTAACCTGCATTCAAATCTTTATTGCATAATCAACATCATTGCAGATAGTCTTGAGGGGGGGCAGTCTTTAATCAAGAGACTTTGGATAGCCTACAAGATTAAAATATTCGTATTCTTCCTTTTTTTGTAATTGGTATTCAAAATAACTAGCATTCATTCAAATCTTTATTGCATAATCAACATCATTGCAGATTTTTAAAACAAATTAATACGCTGCTGTGTTTCCCCGAAAATAAGACAGGGTCTCATATTAACTCCTCCAAATTAATACATTAGGGCTTATTTTCAGGTGATGTTTTATTTTACAGTCATGTCATCTTCCTTTGGTTGCTGCACAATGGTGGAGGGCAGGGTTTCACTTAACTGAGGCTTATTTTGGGGGTAGGGCTTATATTACGAGCATCCTGAAAAATCATACTAGGGCTTATTTTCAGGTTAGATCTTATTTTCAAGGAAACAGGGTATCATGCCATAGGTATCAGGAAAAAAAATACAATGAATTAAAATAATGCTAATATTAATACAATGGGGCTGTAAATATGAGTATTATTTATTTAAACAATTTTAGGTAAAACCTCCTAAAATTCAATGATAAAACTTAAATATCAAATTTAAATTATGTTTCATATGGCTGTCTTCATACACCAAATCTTTATGGCAATTTACACAAATATTTTCCAAATACCTAGTTCTATTTGTAGCGGCTTTAAAAGCAACAACTCTATTTATTGTACAGTATGTGAATTGGATGTTTGTAATAACAAGCTCGATTTCTCTGGGATGCTTCTATATTCCACTTTCTTTAAGATGGGCTGTAAACATTTTTCTCTTATATCCATATACAGTACAGGGGGCAATCGAGCACATAATCAGCCAACTCCTAAAGAACAGGGTTTCCACAAACAATCTATCATCTAAAGAGATACCCTGAAACCTACCATATTTCATTATTGGACCTATTTGTTTAAATCTTAAGTGTGTATATGCTTTTCTATATTGCATTTTCAGCAGGACAGTTAAATAATTTTCAAAATGGTGCAATTGTTTTGTATTAGTCAGCCATTTTGTAGTTTTTATGGATGCAACAGCTGTTATATCAGTCTGAGCTCTTACATTAGGAATCCTTTGCTTAAATATATGAATTGCATCTTTCCACAATGGGTTTAGAGCAGTGGTCCCCAACCTTGGGCCTCCAGATGTTCTTGGACTACCACTCCCAGAAGCCTTCACCACCACCTTGGCTGGCCAGGATTTCTGGGAGTTGAAGTCCAAGAACATCTGGAGGCCCAAGGTTGAAGACCATTGGTTTAGTGCCTGTGCTGTATGTAAAACCAAATTTTGGAAAAAGCTTAAACAGTTTTTCCACCCATGAATTTCCATGATTAGATGACCTTTGCTCCTCCAAACAAATTTTGGGCAATCTTTCTTCCATTGTTACTTGTTCTGCACCAATACTTTACCATTCTTGCAGTTATCAGACCCGAAATCATTTTTGTACCAAGTTCTGATCTAACTAAATGAGCTGGGGTAAAATTTGAAACTACCAGGATGACCTGATAAAATTGTGTTTGAACTTGTTCAATTTCCTTGAGGTCTGCAAAACCCCATATTTCAGCACCATAAATTAACATAGGAATTATCTTAGCTTTAAAAAAATTTAATTGGATTTAAAGTACCTGGATAACTGTAGCTTAAAAGTTTATAAATAGACTGCAAACTGGTCCATACGTTTAATATATTTTTCTTTATATGCACTATCCAAGATCCTGTTGCTGTAATGCCCAAATTAACCTGCTGTAACTCTTTAGAATTTATAGGCCATTTGTGGGTTTTTCTTTTTTTTCTTTTTCTTTTTTTTTTGCCAAATACAACCACCTTAGATGTATTATTGTTGATGCATAGGTTATTTTCTTGACAATAGATATCAGACTATTTCAAAAGTCTCCTCATACCAAATTGAGTTGTTGATAATAATATATTGTCAGCATATAATAATATATTTACCTCTCTATTTAGAATCTTAGGTATATGATAACTGTGTATAAATGTCACATCATTGATATAAAAGTTAAGTAAGAATGGAGATAGAATGCAGCCTTGATGGACACCTTCACTTACCAGCTGCATGTTTATGATATCTGAAGAGTTCACAAACTGACAAGTCACTTTGTTTCTAGATTGTTTCCTATCTGCTTGATCTCCCAGAAAAAGATGAAGAGGAAGTAGAGCGGGCGCAAATCAACAGCTTTGATAGTCTTTGGGGAGAGACTGGTATGTTCTGTAGATAGTTTGTGCCTTCCCTCATATTTGTTTATTATGTACATGGTGTATCAAGAGAGAATGATTAGCCTGTGGGAATTTTCTAATAGTACAAATTTAATCCTTCCTTCCTCCCTCCCTCCTTCCCTCCCTCCTTCCCTCCCTCCCTTCCTTCTTTCCTTCAAATCAATGTAACATCTCAGGAGAACCAGGGACGGAAGAACTTTAACTTTTAAGTCTCTTGCTCTTCAGCACTTTGGACTTCTGAAATATATTATGGAACCTGATACAGAAGAACGCATGAACTTATGCAGGCTCTTGTTTTTCCAGAATGAAGTGCTATGCATACCTTAAAATACCTCTTTAGGTTGGTGATACTGGTGATGTTATAAAGAATAGTCCCTGTGTAGGATTGTTTTATATGACTTTGAACAGTCATTCAGTGAAGTCCAAAACAATTATTTTGGCAAAACTGTAGTGTTTTTTAGTTATGTAGGTGTGGATGATGGTTTTGGGATTCCATTATGCACCCTAAAATAATAATGGCACACATAACAATAATTGCAAATGGAATACAGTATTATGTAGTGTGGAATGGATGGACCGATGGGCTTCTGTTGAATTGATTTCAGTTCCAGTTCTTGCTCAGCTTTAGAATTTACTAGATGAACTGTGTTAGATGATGGATAGACCTAAAGGCCATGTAAAAAAACAAATAAGCATTAGTAAACTCACTTGACAGTGGACCAGAAGAACTGATGATGGAAACTGGAGATATTATCTATGACAAATCCAAAAAAAGTATTATTATAGTCAAAAGAAAAGAAAAGCCTTGATTGATGACTGATGGAACACACAAATTTCATCATCATCAACAACAAACAAAAGTAAATAGAAATAGGGTCTAAATACTAACTACAGGATGTCTATCTTACGTATAGGGACAAAGAAAACTAATACTGTATAATAATCAGTGCAAAGAATAAGATGAAAAATAAAAAGGAAAAGCAAGAGGTCTATTCCTCAAGTTTAAATAAATTAAAGGAAATTTAAACTAAGGCTGTAAGATCAACAAAAGATTATATTAGGATACATATTAATATATTAGGATAAAAATGAATAAAAGAATGATTAAATAAAGAGAAACAGAAAATACGTGGAGGAGCTGCAAAGGTGATAGACTCCTTCGACAAAGAATCAATCTTTTAATGAAGAACTTGCAGTTTAGAAAGTGAAATGAAAGCTGCTCTCAAAGCTCGTGAAATAAATAAATCACCAGATGTACATAAAATACTGATTTAACAGATTTTATCAAAATCCTAAGAAGAACATGCCAACAAATAAAGAAGACAATAGCTGACAGATTGGAAATGTTCAATCCCCAATAACAGAAATACTAAAGAGTGCAGGAATTAGAGAAACGATGCATTCTTTTTCAAAGTAGGCAAAGTGAGACTCATGATTTTACAGGAAAGGTTTTACCCTGTACGCATTGAGAAATGCTAGATGTTCAAGCTGAATGCAGAAAAATAAGGGCCACTAGAAATCATGTTGTAAATACAGTGGTGCCCCGCATAGCGACGTTAATCCGTTCCAGGATTAACGTCGCTATCCGGATTCTTCGCTATCCGGGCGGGGAAAACCCATAGGAACTCCGTTTAATGCGTTCCTATTAGGGAAAAACTCACCGATAAGCGAAGAATCCTGGATCTGGCCGCCATTTTCGCTGCCCGGTAAGCGAGGGCAGGGCGCGAAAATGGTGCAGGTGGCCATTTTCTGCACCCAGCAGCCATTTTGGAACTGCCGATCAGCTGTATCCAAAATGACCGCCGGATGCAGAAATGATCACAATGCGATGTTTAGCCTATCTAAACATCGCAATGTGATCGCATTAATGACCCCAAAAAACGGGTCGCTATGCGGATTCATCGTTAAATGGTGCGCTCGTTAAGTGAGGCACCACTGTATACATTGCCTACTAGAGAAACTAAAAAGTTTCAGAAGAAAATATCTCTCTGCTTTATAGATTGCACTAAATCCTTTGACTTTGTGGACCACAAAAAGCTATCGTATTTTTACATTTATAAGACCACCCACTGTATAAAACAACCCCCCTTTTCTAACCCCAAGTTAGAAAAAGCAGGGATTGAAGGGCTCCCTTTTTGCTAAGGCCCCTGCCTTTGCAAAAGGCAAGGAAAGAAGCTGTCAAAGTGACTGCCACTTTTCCTTGCTTTTTGAGAAGGCATGGATCTTAGCAAAAAGGAAGAGACAAACGCCTCCCCTTCCTTTTTTATAACCCTCGTGCCCTTGCCTTTTGAGAAGGCACAGAGTTTAGCAAAAAGGATGGGGAGGCGCTTTTCTCTTCCTTTTTGCTAAGCTCCATGCCTTCTCAAAAGGCAAAGAAAAGCGGCAGTCACTTTGAAGGAGTGGAAGCTTGTAGAAGTATCAAGAATTTGATATGCATATGACACAGTATTCCTGGCAGAAGACAACAGTGACTTGAAACAATACTGTTTCAAGTACTGTATGGAAGACTACAGCTGAGCATTAAAATAAAAATCATCACTATAGAAGAATTATATAACAATGTTGACAACACATTGAAATTTTAAAAGGTTTTATACAGCCTGGTTCAATCATAAATCAATCAGAACTGCTGGAAAACTCAGTGGTTTAGGTATCTGGATGCAGAGTCAGCGGTTGGGAGTTCTATTCCCTACTGTGCCTCCTTGACACAGGCTGCACTCAGTGATAGAATCCCTTCCAGCTCTGCAGTTCTAAGATTATCCTGATGACTCAAAATAGAGACAGCAGCCAAGAAATATGTTCTGAGGAGGGCAACAAGGATGATCAGGGGAAATCAGGTATTTTGAGGAAAACCTGAAAGAACTGGGCATATTAAGCCTTGAGAAAATAAGACAGAGGAAACAATGATAGCATTCTTTAAATACTTGAAAGGCTGTCATACAGAGAGGAGCAGGATCTGTTCTCAATCATCCTAGAGTGCAGGGAACATAATAATGGGCTCAAGTCCTTCAAACGCCATTATTTTATGATTCTAAATCAGATAAGGACTAAGACTTGGAAAGGCAGCTGTGAAGGAACTTGAAAGGCGATCCTTCTCTCGAGATCCAGGCCAGGATCTTCTACATTATTCTATTCTGAATAATTTTGTAAATTGGACAGTGAAGAAAGCTAACAGGGAAGATATCAGTTCATCTGAAATAAATACAATTAACCACCAGAGGCACAAGTAAGTGGCTCTAGATCAGATCAAGCCTGAATTCTCTTTAGGTGCAGAAATGACTGAAGTGAGGCCACTGTACTTTGGGCATATTATAAGAAGACAAAGATTGCAGAAACATGTAAACATTTGATGGCTCTAATCACTAAATAATGTGTAATTCTGAAATCATGAGCAAGATTTTTCTATCAGGTACTATTTGAAGTCACTTCAAGAGCAATTGTGATATAAGTGCATTATAATTATTGGCAGCTGTCCTGAAAATGAGTAGGCTGGTTCTTCTAGCTTCTCTCATCTGAATGGTTTTCAAAGTGTATGGCTCTTATTGGAAATCAGACCTGCTTTTTTCCCCAAGCTATTTTGTGTGTGTCTGTGTGTGTGTCTGTGTGTCCATCTTACTGGCTGGAAGAACTGCATCCAAGAGTATTGAAGGAACTGGTGGAACAACTCTCAGAATCACTGTCCATTGTTTTCTTTAAATTATGGGAAATGGGTGAGGTGACAAACGAACTGGAGCAGGGATAATGTTGTCCCTATCTACTAAAATGGCAAAAAAGAGGAACCTGGGAACTACAGATGAGTCAGCCTGACATCAATCTCAGGGAAAATTTTGGAATAGATTATAAAGCGGTAACTATGAAGGCACATAGAAAACAAAGCAGTAGTAGCTAGAAGCCAAGACAGACTTCTCAAAAACAAATCCTGCCAAACTAATCTGATCTCATTTTTTGATCTACTGACCACCCTGATAGACAGAGAGAATTATGTAAACATAGTATATCTTCACTTCAACAAAGCTTTTGACAAAATGCCCATGATATTCTGATTAGCAAAGTTTGGGCTTGGTATAACAACTGTCCAGAGAAAACACAATTGGCTTACAGAATCATACGCAGAGGGTGATTATTAATGGCTCCATCTCAAACTGGGAGGAGGTAACAAGTGAGGTACCCTAGGGCTCAGTCCTTGTCCCAGTGCTATTCAATATTTTTATTAATCACTTGGATCAGGGGATACAGGGAATGCTAATCAGATTTGTGCATGACACAAAATTAGGTGGAATAGCTAACACCCTGGAACACAAACAAAATTCAAAATGATCTAGATAGGCTTGAGCACTAGGTTGAAAACAACAGAATGAAATTCAACAGGGATAAGTGCAAAATACTTCACCTAGAAAAAAGAAGCCAAACACAGTTATAAGATGAGGGATACCTGCCTCAGCAATACTATGAGCAAGAAGGATTGTGGAGTTGGTTAGATCAGTGGTTCTTAACCTGCCGATATCACCCCCCCAGGGGGTGATTTCATTTTTCAGGGGGGCGATGGAACAAAAGGAGGTGATGCAGGGGCGAAGGAATAGAAGGGGGCGATAGGGGGCGATGGAGCCTCTGCATCACTGCCGCCATTGAGGAAGTTATCATCGCCAGATCCAGAGCAGCTGGTGCTAGCAGCGGATGTGGTGCCGCCAGCACCATTGAGGAAGTTATTGCTCCCCGTGGCAGCGGCACGGCACCGCCAGATCCAGAGCAGCTGGTGCTGGCAGTGGATGTGATGGCGCCACCGCCACCATTGAGGAAGTTATCATCCCCCCTCTCCCACAGCGGTGCCATGCTGCTGCTGCTGCGCCACTGCCGCTGGGGAGGGGAGCGCTGATAACTTCCTCAATGGCTCAAGGGGGCGCTTTCAAAAAGGTTAAGAACCACTGGTTTAGATTACAAGCTGAATATGAGCCAACAGTGTGCTGTGACTACAAAAAAGGCAAATGCTATTTTAGACTGCATTAACATAAGTATAGTCTCCAAATCACATAAAGTACCAGTTCCCCTCTATTCCACACTAGTTAAGCCTCATCTTGAGTGCTGTGTCCAGTTGTCGACACTGCATGTGAAGAAGGATGCCAACAAATTGGAACAAGTTCAAAGGAGGGTAAGAAGGATGATCAGGGGGCTGGAAACCAAGCCCTATGAGGAAAGACTGAAAGAATTGGGCATGTTTAGCTTTGAGAAAAGAAGACGGGTGATATGATAGCACTTTTCAAATACTTGCAAGACTGTTATACAGAGGAGGTGCAGGATTTGTTTTTGATTATCCCAGAGTCCAGGACATGGAACAATGGGCTCAAGTTATAGGTGTCAGCGATCAGCTCTCCTAAGAGATGCTTGACCGTTCGGACAGAGAGTAATTAGAAGCCTGTGCTCCCTCATTAGGCTGGGCCGAGTCCTGGTAACCTCAGCCAAGGGCCGCCCCAAAACTTCAGCTTACAGGTCTGCCCTAAAAAGATACTTCAGCAACCTTGGAAAATTCCAAAAAATAAAAATAAAAATAAAAAA